GGTGTAAGATAGTATTGAGGTAACGCCGATCTGATATTGCAGAAACTGACGCTATAAGTCTGTAAATATTAAGCCGTCTCGGGTTCTGTTTTGCAGGTTATCCAACGCGATATCCGCGTGCAATAAAAAGTCTATGCAACCCGTATGCGTTATATTTTTATTATCACTTTAGTTTTTCTTTCACGTTCTATTTTTTAAAGTTGGTGCATTCGGTCCAACTTATCTTTTAGTTCTTGATTCTCTTTTACGATCTCATTATATTTGTAATAACACATTTGCGTTGATGGAAGAAAAAGAAATTCTCGATTCAATGAAAATTTCATCAGCTCCCCGTCGAAGGAATGACTCGTGACACCATCTACGTCAAATGTTAATGCAACTTTGCGATAACTTAATCGATAACTCTCCTACAATGATGTCTGATAAATTAACCGAAAGGAATTCATTGTTTTCTAGAGAATTAAAAAAAGTATCCAACTACTAGTATACTCCCCTGTGCATTTTTGTATTTATATTTATCTCTACTAAAATCGTTATTCGTAGTATCCGTATTACGAACTGCTTTGCCTATCGAATTCCCTTATAAACAATTTTGTACAAAAAGAACGTTGTTTATAAGGGAATTCGATAGGCAAAGCAGCTTGTAATACGATACTTACGAATAAAGATTTTAGTAGAAATAAATATAAACTTCATTGTCTATCAAATTCTCTTACAAACGACATTCTTTTCGTACAAAATTCAATTTTCAATGGCCTCGCAATTTTCTTCTCCGTACTTCCGTTTCCCCTAATTACGTATCTAATTTCCTGTTTGTCCGTTAGCTGGGGTATTAACGAACGTTAAAGTGACGTGCGAGATTAGGGGGCGCCACAGTGCACACTCGAGTGCTTTAATTATGGAAAGTAGGGGGAACATTCGTCTTATGGTTATCAAGAAGGCGATCGATCGATAAATGCGAGAAATTCGACGACGTATACGCGCGTTCGCCTAAGTGCATAATCGTCGGGGCTCGCGTGCTTCGTACCGTCCGGGGAAACTTCGAGTTCTTCTTTCATTATCACGCAAACGCCATTGCATAACGTCGTCTTTGGACGTGAATTATATGAACGAGACTGATTAGCGATTTACTTATGTCGGAGATCCATGGAAATTAACGCGATGCTACGTTTACTAAGAATACTAATATCGCGATAAATTACAATTTTCACAATGAAGTTTTAAACAAGTGCAGCTTTATCTGTACATTTCGAGGTGCCCTTGTTTCACGTTTGTCTTTACACGTGCACAATTGACAAAGATTCGCGAAATTTATTTTTTTGTCTAGAGTAGGATGAGATCAATTCTTCTTTCGTTATGCATATTTATAAACGTCACTTGCTTCCTGAGGTCTTTCACTAATTTATAGACGTCAGCTACTTTATAAAGTTTAATTACGCGTGGACTAGCTGCTACTAAATTCGAAACTCATTCGAAGTTTATTCAAGCGACGCTATTAAGTTTCGCTCTACGAAAATGATTTTGAACATTGACTCGACGATCGCTGCATCGCCGGAAGTATGGCAATGTGGACGAAATTATGCACGAGCTTGCTTTCGGACTTTCGCCATTTACTCTAATTGCGTAATTCCCGCGTTCCTTTCGCGAAATAATTGAGAGGGCACGAGTATCGTTCTCCTACACATAGCATCAATTTCTAACAGTTTCTTTTTTAGTTAAGAAGAACTTACGTTTTACCTGTATAAAATTACCAAATATAAAATGAGGAAAAGGATCGATAACCATTGGACCATCGATAACCAATTACGTAACAATTAATTCATCAATATTATTTTCGATCTGATTATTATTAATACGACCGTATAAATATTATAAATTGTTCGATACATCGACGTTAAACGTAGCGATACATATTTGAAACATTGAAATAATAATGTAAAATTTGTTTCGCTGCCAACTTCAGCAACGCGACAAAAACAAAAAAAAAAGGAACGAAAAAAAAAAGGGAACTATTTGAAAAATTCAATAAAAGCCACGCAGTCCGATGGACAATGCAAAATGCATTACGGGTTCTCTGTACCAACCGAACAATGAATCCTGAGTGGCCATCGATATAGTTGCCTAACCTGCTCTCGGCTCGCGAGACTCTCCCGACGCTGCCATATTAATTAAAAGAAAATATTCACTTCGATAGAATTTGTCTTTGCCCATCGTTCCACGGCTAATAGAACGAACGGAGAACCCACCGAACAAACGCTCGATAGCAATTCAACGAACCGTTGATCGCGATTTATTTGTTCATCCTCTTTGCATTAATAAATTGTGCAAATTAAAATCCAATCTCCTCTGTAACTCGCGCAAACCTCGTTACAAGGAAGTTTCAAATAGACAAAAAAAAAAAAAAAAGAATTGCTCTCGGTCCTAGCTCTCTCTGTTCGGATCTTCGAAATGTACGAAGGCACAAGCGGAGAGATCGTTACGTTTGTAAGGGAGGTTGGGCCAACGGAAACTTGAGAATTCGTAAAACAAAAGCAAAAAAAAAAAGAGACCGAGGGAACGTATACAGTAACACATTCCAATCACGCGTAATGCCCAGCCGCTCCTTTGTTACGTGCATTCTTCTCGCGAATGACAGTTATGCAGAATACAAAAAGTTCGCGCATGCGCGCCCTATAGGTTTGGACACTCACTTTGATTGCTCGTCACTGGCACATTTCGTGTACGAACACGAACGCGCACGGAATTCTATGGAATGCCCGAATGTGCACGCTCGAGTCGTAATTACTCGCCGCATGGATAAAATAACAAGCGAACGAATAAATGAATAATTAAATGTACGTACGTATTAGGTTGTCCGGAAAGTTCGTGCCAGTTTTCAAGAAAACTTCAAGGGCACGTTTGAATTGTAATATGTATTTATTGAATTACATACAGTCAGTGTAAGAAGTATTCGTACAGCAATCAATTTAAAATAAATGGCTCCCGTACGAATACTTGTTACACGGACTGTAGGTACCATTTTGTTCCTTTCTACCTTTTAAAGGATGTATATATACATCTACATCTACATCTACATCTACATATACATCTACATCATATACATGTATTCCTGCACCACCTATCAAAAATCGGCATGGACTTTCTGGACAACCCAATATAACAAAATATTATTGGTCTGTTCAATAATTAGAGAAAGTCTGTCGGTTCTACGAACAGAAGTAATCGAAATTTCGAGAGGTCGCGAGCCCTAGTTTGAGAAGCGCTGGATTAATCTATTCCGCATTTGCCATTGAAAAAGTACCTACCCCTAGCCAGTATCGAAAACCAGTTCCGACGAGGCAATCGATCTATTCTGCGCAACGCCGAGTGTAAGGGGAAGGGAGTGCTTTCAATTTGCAAAATTACAAGACACCGCGAAAAAAGAGAAAGAAAGAAAAATTGGCAGCCGTATAACGATGCTTGAGGCGTGTAACCCCCACCCCCAAAAAACAGGTCAATATTTGTCGGAATGTTTAATACCGAGACTAACCAAAATATAGAAAGTTCGTATTGTAGAGCTTTGCATTGTTCATCGTTCGTTGCACGAAATTTTCATCTAGATGTAAGAGTTGTCTGACAGCAGTTAAAGCAATGACACATGTCTCTAGCGAATCGGAAGTCAGGCACTGTGTCATCTATCTGCCTCGTTATGAAACAGTGGTTCTTAACCGTGCTAAGCTAACAACATATTACTACAGTAATACTTAACTATACGAAAAAATCATTTCAAGCATCGATGTGTCTATTAATCTTATTCCAATTTAATTATAGATCATTCGCTACCAACAAAACAAGATTCACGATTCAAGTAGTAGCCGAACCCATCATCATTCATCAGACTTGTTGGCAAACATTCGCGGTGGTTAAGAATCGCTGTCATGGAAACACGGTTTTGCTATCGAAGCACGTAAGCATGGCTGCGTGTAAAATATTTCCAAATCTGGACAAAATATAGAAAAAATGAACAATTATAATAGATGATGTTTCATTTGAAAGGCTCGCCTCTTCAGATTCAAATTTCGTAATTCGTACGGCCATCGTGATTGGGGTACGTTCCCCAGGAAACGGGAAAGAGGAAAAAGAGGGAGAGTGTGGAAGGAGAAGCGAGAGCACACGGGACAGAGAGACACCGACAGGCTGGAATGTGGCCGTTAAACCGATCCCACCCAGCCAATCAGCATCCCGTTCTGTACCGTCAACGTTAAGACGGCTGTACACACAAGAAACCACCGAACACCGTTCGCGAAAGCACGAGAATAAAAAGTAATCGGAGGTCGAGGAAGAAACAGACGGGGCGACAGAGGGTGCTCGTGATAATAACACGGGTCGATATACACCGGGCGTTATTTTCAGGCCCTTGCATTCGCAGGATTCTCGACACAACTGCGAACCTGCATATCTTCGGGGTTGCTCTTTCCCAACTCCACCTTTGGCTGTCCTCGAACTTTCTGCTACCAAACAACACGCACACGCCAAGTGGCGGTCGAGCGATCGAAGCCGCGGCTAACGATGTTTTGTATGAAACCGGTATCGACTAATGTGCCCATTAGGGAGCAGAGGAGATCACGACGAAAAAGATTGTATTCGAACAACGAATTACGAATGCACTATTTATTTATCTAATCGTTTCCTTTCTCGCGATCGATCGAGTTCATGGAACACTATCCAAATCTATCGATTGCCGACCTATCGGTCGATTCGAATACATGTACGCACTAGTTGGATATAAATACACAGTAAGAACATTGCTGATATTCGTTCACGGTATATCTCGCGCTACGATTGAAATTTTAATATTCGTTTAGAGAATGACGGATGGAATGTTGTTTATCTTTCGTCCGTTATTTGTAGTTTCCGTGCGGATAAGAATCGTGGCCATCTCCGGGGCCAAGGTTTTAGGCGGATTCCGTACCAGCGATTCCTAACAGCACGCGAGAGTTTCGAAAGAGGCGAGGACTTACCTTGCCGCTCTTGGCTGCCGGCGAGTTCTCGACGATGTCGTAGATGACGTGCGGCAGACCAGCGGTGCCGAGGAGCGAGAACCCGAATCCGGACGAGTCGCCGCGGTTCAGGGTGACCAGCAGCTCCTCAGCCATGTTTCGAGCACATTGATCACCTCACTGTCATTTGACGCACCTTTACGAAACCTCGTCGCACAGTGCACAACGATTAATCCGGCGACCCCGTGTCTCCCCCGTCTCTCTCGATCTCCTTATTCCCAACACCGTGCGTGTCACTAGTCAACGTTCCTATCGTGCTCGCTGTTCGGCACACGCGCGCACAACCACGCACACGGGACGAAAGCACAGAGGCCCCTTTCGCCGAACACTTTTCGCACTGCACCGCGCGATACGACTGCTACTATCTCCTTCCCTTTCCCCGTTTTCCCTTCTTCGCTCGTGGCCCGACTCCTTCCTACTCGCTGCTAGGGACGGTCAACGGCGAAGCATAACATGCGACATCAGAAACGATACGCCCGGAAACGCCACTCCTGCGCTTATTCGCGATACCGCCTCGAAAACGCGCGCACTTCGTACCTGTGCCTTGCGCGAACCGTGGCGGCGTCGCGGCCAACCGTCGACGTATCCTTGCGGACAACGCAGACACCTCCACCCTGCCCGGCGTACGCCTCGCGACTGGATGGCGCCACCTACAAGGCACCCGCGGACGATCCCCACCTGTCCGCGTCGCCAGAGGGCCGACCAATCCCGTTCTTTCTCGCAAGTCCTCGCTCCCCCACCAACACTCTACGCGCAGTGATGGACATTCGTGAGATTTTTCCTTCGAGAAATTCCTTTCTGCGCATGCGTAAGCTGACGTCACAGGTACATGTCGTCTGTTACCATACACGTATCCGAACCGCCAGAGGAGATGCATTTAAGGGGTCCGTGCAATTTTCCAGCGTTTTTAACGAACAAATTAAGTACAAGAGTGTTAGTGTTCGTGAGTGTAATATTAGGAAAAATTAAAAACAAACATTTATAACGAACCGCAGCCGTCCATGTCAGGAATCATCGAGGAAAAGAAGAGGACATCATATTTTCTTCCTTACTGGGATCCAATGGTACCCTAAATTCTAAGTAAGTGTATAGAGTAGTGAGGACTGCAACGCTCGCTCCAATGCGCATGATCAGAAAAAATCCCACGAATGTTCATCACTGTCTACGCGCAATCTAACGTTAGAGACTCTCTATGCATCACAAATACAAGTATGCGAGTAGATATAAGTACTGTTGCAATAGTCAAAAGATAATACGGTATACGCATAGTACCGTATATACTTTTTATATCAGTTTATATAATGTTTGTTAAAATTAACATATAAATACATAGATAAAATAGGATACCAAAAGGGATAGACATATATTTAAGATATACATATATTGTACAAATTGTAAAGAAAGAGTGCAAACTGGAAAACTGTACCCAATGTACCCATGCACCCATAAACTATTGAATCGAGACCCTCTATGCCATCTAGCGGAGCACTGATGGTAACAAGAACGTACGAACCAGTAAAGCTGAGCAAAACTACTGTGTGGTAGCAATAGCAAACATGGAGCCAATCGCCCACCTCGTTAAAGTATCCATTCCGAATTATTTGGCTGGATTACCCGTTCCTGAATCTATAGGAGGATGGTTTCGATTAGGAGGTGAGAAACTAAACAAGATATTCACTGTATATTTTGTCATCGTGCAGAATCACATCGAGTTACTGTAAATAATACATTCCTAAACATGACACTGCGATTTGGTACGGTACTAGTTGGAAAAAATGTTATGAATAATCAGTGATCGCGACAATTCTGTGCTTTCATGTAGTACGAGATTGGATTTCCTTAATTCCACCTACCGCGATGCTAGCTGGTCTTGGGTATATGTCTTACAAAGCCTTTTGTCCGCTAGCTAGAGGCCCGGTAAGTAACCTACCTGTTACTAGAATCAAGGACGTTAAGATAGAATATTACGGTGTATTTCACTTTTTCGCTCGTTGATTATGTAACAAGCTTCAACATTAGTTTGTGTTTATTTTGTATCTATTACTTTCTTATTTATAAATTACAGAAATATGGTACTATAATAAGTCATGGAAATACTGTACCGTGTATATGAAATATACATGTATGCATATGTATTAAAAGTTCCTCATCTAATCATTAAGCAAACAGTATTTTTACTCAGAAGCAAAAATTAAATGCAAATTGGACAAAATTCTTGGCTTAGGAAGAAATTATATATTTTTAAAACATATACAATTTAACAATTTAATTTCAGTTTTTAAATGAAATTTTAAAACCTGGAATTTATTTTCCTTCTAGATCTCTGGACGTGTTAATCATACCATAAAGAAGGATGTGAATAAAGTGGTAGACTCTGTTGATATAGAAGACATAAGTGAGAAAGCTGTATTCTGTCGCTGTTGGAGATCTAAGAATGTGAGTTTTCTAATCTTATGCCCAACCCATGTTTAACTATATAGAATAAGGTCAAGACACGTGTTATGTAATCATGTAATCATTTTCTGTGATAACTGTATTTGTGTACATGCAACTATTTAACATATGGGTTAAGAGAATTAATACAAATAATGAGAATTTTTTATTCCAGTGGCCGTATTGTGACGGATCTCATGGTCCTCACAATGAGGAAACAAAGGACAATGTGGGTCCTCTTGTAGTCACAAAAAAGAAAGCTTAATGTAAGCCAATTAACATTATAAATGTCATTGTATTTATTTGCCACTTACAATGTCATCCATAATTTATACAAATATTTCTGTCACCAATACTGTAGGCATCTCGTAAAGGTCAGAAATACTTAAGAAACATAAGTGTAGAACAAATATGAAAACTGAAAATAGAACCTAAATGCAGATTGCAATATATGTATTTGTTACATGTACCTATTTTATAGAATATGATATAACAAATTTTTAAATAAATAAATTGTTGCGCAAATTGCTTGCATTAATAATTATATAAGTTGTTACATGTAAGATATATACGAGAGTCGTATTACTTTTTATAAATACGTTATTTTTAAGATCAGATTTCTTAAATTCTACAATAAAAAATCGTTCAGTAAAAAAATAATACACTTGTTTATTTAACTAAAGTTATTTACATGTTTATCACACGCAATGTAAAACAAAAATACTAGATTACAAAAATTCAATTCATAGTATACGATCTCGCAACAGTTCTGAACGCTACAAATCAGTAAGGAATATTGTTTGCGAATTATTTAAAGGAAACCGATACGCATCACCTATTAGCATCCATACACATTTAAAGAATTTTTATTACTACTCTCAGCACTATGTAATTTATTCAACGATCTGCACGTTATAATCATTACGAAAAAAAAAATATATATATAACACGAGGTAACGCTATTTTAAATTCTACAGAAGGAGGAATGAACGATCGACTTGTTGAAAAAATTGGGTTGTATACATATAAAACAATTACATCATAAGAAATGTATAATATTATCCAAATATATTTGGTTTGTTGACTGTCAGACGCAATGCATGTCTTTAGTATCACAGATCAATGAATCTTTAATAGTTACATGGTACCAGCCTGAGCTGTGAGTCATTCAATTATGTCTCGCTTCTCTGCAGCTTTCCACTCTTGGCAGAATCATAGCTGTAACGGTACAAAGTGCAATTATATTCATGCGTTATAATTTAGTTTCGATTATCAATATATTCTTACCTCGAAATGACGCAGGTCGTTAGTATCGAATTCTAACTCGTTGACAAGTAACTCTCGATGTCCGTACCTATATCTAAAACAACGATACCGATCGATTAAAACACTGACTTTCGTAAACAGTAGAGTAACGATAACTAACAGAAAATTCTTACTCGATATACCGCCTCCAAACAATCATTCCAACGTACGCTATCGCAATTACTATTGCAAAACTTATCGCGGTAACCAGCGCTATGGTTCCCGATGGCATACTCCTCTTACGGCTCCGATCAGACGACTTTACGCCTTCGGCGACTTCAGGCTCTACATTCGAAGTACTGGCTACGACCAACGGTGCTACAGAGCTAATCGATACATCGGTAGGATTCATATCGACTTTCGAATCGTTGCCTGAAACGAACATTTTTGCATTCGTTTGACGACACCACGAAGCCCAGAAACGTTTCTTCAAAATTTTGTTTTAAAAATAAATTAAAAAAATTGTTATACCTGCGACGCTAGCATTTACAGGGTGACTAGTTTCCGTAGATACAACCTCGTAAGTTGTTTCGTGCGTAGTTTCTGTGGGATTTATCGGAACTATGCCAATTTCCTCCTTGTTCTTGTCAGATGTTTCGTTCTTGTTAGATGGTACTTTCTGTTTCTGAGATTCCGTGTCACTCGCTTTGGTTGTGTTGCTTACGATAGTCGTCGTCGCTTCTGATTAAAATGCAAACGAAATAGTATGAGCCGTTTCATAAGTAACTGTCTAATTCATTCAAACTTTAAATGACATGTACCTGTCGCCATTGACGATGAGTTACTTTCTATTAAATCGTCGTTGTCGTGCGGCGTGACATGGCAATTAAGCATGTCCACTGGTTCCTTCGTAGAATTACAATTCTCCTTGGTACTTGCATTATTACTTGATTCCGCTATATTTCAAACATTAACAGAACGTTCGGTACAATTATCCACGTTGATTAGTCACAGTATTATATCGCGCTGGATTAATTTAAGTTGATGGGGTCACGAAGGATCCGATCGTTACAAGAAATTTCGATGAGCTCACCCTTTTTGTTTTCCACGGGTTTGTCCGCAGGCACAACAGTATCATTGTTGTCGGCATTCGAAGCAGCAGTCGCATTCTTCGTGCTCGGAACGACCCCTGTAGTGTTGCTTTGTCCCGTTAGCGGTACTGGACACGCTCTGTCAACTAACAACACACGAATTTACGAGATAATAATTTATTTATTACGCTCTACGCATTCGATATAACGTACATTTTACGAGAGGCTAGAAATAAAACAGTTTTCGATTAAAGAAATCTCAACCCTTCGAACGTTCAAACACCGAATACACAATCGTAGTAGAGTAAATATTTTATTTTATTCGCGATAATAATATTTCTGTCTTACCAAACATGGAAACAGTCAGAACAACAATCAGAAATAATCGAAGCATCCTCGCGTTGCTCTCCATCCGTCCACTTTCACGGTGAAATTTCAAAAACTTTTGCACGCCCTTCTTTGTCTCGAGTTTCGTCACCTTCGGCTTCGATCGCGTAGCGAAATCAAATCTGTAATCAAAATGCCAATTATCGCATCCCGCCTCGCCCCACCACACGCTCCGTTTATCTGTTATCTTAGATAAACTAGGCAAATAATGGATACATTTTTTAATAAACGTCGCTACTATATTGCAACTAACGATAAACTGCGTCGGATAGTGCGAGGGAAATAGTTGCGCTAGATAGAAGCAAACTGTGATAAGTTCAAATTTTGTAAGTTTAACGTTTTAAATGACAAAGAAAGAGACAGTGAACGTGACGAATGTATAACCTTATTTTATTTATACAAAAGTTATAAATTCGCTAATTTTATATAAAAGCGTTTAGTGAATTTAATATGCATTGTGAATTTCATCAAGATAGAAAAATAAGAAC